TTTATCTGTATAATTTTTTATATAAGTAAAGTTCTTATACCCATGCATGTATCAGGAAAATGGTGGTATAGGCTATGAATTTTTCCCACCATTTTCCAATCCTATAAGAATTCCTAAATTTCAAATCCTATAGGAATTTTCATTTCCTATAGGAATTTTTTCACCATTTTCAATTCCTATAGGAATTCCTATAGGAATTTTCAATGCCAATAGGAATTATCCTATAGGAATTCCTATAGGAAATTTTAATGCCTATAGGAATTCCTATAGGAATTCCTATAGGAAATTTTAATTCCTATAGGAATTCCTATAGGAATTTTCAATTCCTATAGGAATTCCTATAGGAATTTTGATTTCCTATAGGAATTCCTATAGGAAATTTTCTTCCTATAGGAATTCCTATAGGAAATTTGATTTCCTATAGGAATTCCTATAGGAAATTTTCGTAAGGGACGTATAACGTCAAGGTGTCAACTTTCTAACTTCCCAAAATTTTACTGAATAATTTGGTAATAGCAATTAATTTAGAGGTCAGATTGCTACTTCACTAATTAGTGACGCAAGCGTTTCCTAATTATCATTCTTTAACTTATAGGCAAGATTATAAAAGACTTGATAGCGAACGCAAACGTTTATTCAGCATTGCTTCAACGCAGTGAAGGCTATCATCTTCAGCAGTAACGCAGCACTTTCGCTATATAGGTAAGCATTTTTTGTTAATGTTACAAATTTTTGTCTCCTTTGGTCGTATGTAAGGACAAGCTTGTATTTTGCTTCACTGAAGATGTTGTCCAAAATTTAAATGGTTGTTTATATATGATAAAGTAATAACTAATTATCCAGTGGTTTTCCAGGGCAGATAATGCATTCTTATTAAGAAAATTAAAGGCCAGCATGAAATTTTAAACAAACGGGCATTTTATAAAAATATTTTATTTACATCTCTACCGTTTCGTAGGAACCAACATATTCAGAGATTAAAATAAACACAGCTGTGCATGTTACAAAAAATATTTAAACTTAACATACAAAATGATTAATCCAATCCGAATGCAATGATTTATATACATTTGATAATATGTACTAAGAGTGTAAGGACTGACTTGGGGGCGGAGATAAGAATAATAACAGAGATACATTGGAGATAACCTTATAGTTACTATTTAAATTAAAGAGGGTCGTTTGTGTATCATGAGAGTTTCTCTATAAGACCAGTTCAGATTCAATGGAACATTATTATTTGACAATTATTTAATCATTACTATATAACTGCACTTTTAATAATTAACCGAGAATGAGGTCTTTACGGTAAAATATCAAAACATGATCAATAGGGGAACAGGTTCGATTCCTGCCTGTGGGCCTATAGTTCAAGTGCATTTATTTACACAGTACAACTCAAGTTGTAAGCAGTTGATTGCATGCGACAGTTTTAGACAAGAGTGGTGTAGTGTAAATCGGCTGTTATACATCAGCACATGGGCATTAGCTCAATTCACCATAAACAGATGATAAACAGAGCTATCAATATCAATTTCACATATATTTTGAAGGGGAATCATATAGTATTCATGTACGTAATTTGAGGCGAAGATCCTCTGCACGAAGATGGAAATATTTATACGTAGACGTTATTTAATTAGACAACAGCAATATAGTTCATAATTATTATAGCAATGGAATAAATAATTAGGATGAAAGCCAACATTTTTTTCCATATTTTAAGTAGGAAGTCCTTAAGTTTACAGGTCAAAGTAACAAAGTTACTGAGGTTTCGATTTATTACACCATCAAACGGTTGAGTGGATATTCAAATTATATTGAGTGTCTTCCTCGAAAATATTGCGGGCCTTAAACTAAGGTGTGTCAACATACACTGTATATAGTTGTATTGTCGAGCAGTTGAAAACTTTTTATTGCACTCAACAATTACAGTTTGCATTTTCGCACTAAACTAAAAGTTCATAACGCATGCAATAACTGGTGCATTGCTGTTGACATAAAATTGAAGCCAAATGCGCGCAGGTACATCGAATTCAAATTACTGTTTCGCGGACATTTTTTGGATAGCTAAAGTAAAATGTATTCGAATTCTAGACACTCAGCTGGTGCTTTTATTCGGATTCTGTACGTACATTCATTCGATATTATATATTTCTAAGTTAGGTAAACAATGTCTTCGACTGTTCTTGACTGATTTCTTTCGTTATCAATTGACCGTCACTCATTTGCGAAAGAATTGCAGCGGCAGCCTCTAAAGATTCTTCAATTCAGTCTCAAAGTCATCCTCATTAAGAAATGTCACCCTGGTGTACTGTATTTCTTTTGAAGCTGTTTCATTTTTACTGCTCATTCATAATAGCCGTGCCAGATGCACGTCTTCCAGCAATTTTTCAAGTTTTGACAGGACTAATGAATAGACTTCTATATTATCATCATGACCATCATGGATACGAGATTTTGCAATGCTTCATTTGCAGGACAGGTCCTCTACTTTGCATCGTCTATTAGTACTGCCAATGGATCAAGTTTATTTTCTACATCTGTTTCATCAGAGACAGCAGCAGCAGAGCTGCATGGCCCCAGACCTTTCACTTGACAGTTTTTCATCATGCGAAGATATTGACTTATCAGCGTCGAATTCCGTATATCGCTTTCTTTTTCACTAAATAAAGTTTGACCTTTGTCAGATTCATCTGTTTCACCTATGTCAGACCTGTGTCAAAAAACATCACATCTACCAAGGGAAATATTGTCTACCTTGGCTTGTAGTTAAATGAGTCGTTATTTTTAGCATGTACTTAATATATCTATGTTTTTAAAAACCTTTTAAGCCGGTTTTCCCCTAGGCGGATTTTGGCGCGCGGAGCGGAATTTTTCTTTGTTATTTCTAATTATAGTTCCACCCGAGAAATCACAAGACAAAGAAAAATTCCGCTCCGCGAGCAAAATTCCGCCTAGTGGAAAACTGACTTTACGCAATCCAACCAAACGCCTCTTGAGCAGACATACTCGGGCCGATTGAATATGTTCAAAAATCCCAGACAATATGCAAAAAAAAACATTAAAACGCCTCTGTTTCTGCAAATTGAGCAGTTAAGCTAGTGCTCTTGTATAGCGTTGGGCATTGCTTGTAGATACTCATATATGAGTACAGCAATTAACTCCATGAGCATTCCAGTGAATAACTTACTTCTCATGAGCCTGCAATTACATTTATGATGCAATGTACGTATAGTCAACGTCATTTGAGTTCTTTCGTTGCTAGCAAAATGAACTGTAGCTATTGCAGAAAACAATTTAATCGGGGTTTTAATCTTCAAAGACATGAAAACGAATATTGCCCATTACGAAATGAAAATATACACGGTTTTAATACAAGTAAGTCTAGCACAGATCAAGGCTTTTCTAGAAAAAGAAAGCGCTACAGCCTACGGAATCATTGATGTATGACGTCAGCATTTTCCCCATATATGTCAACATTTTCCCCATGACAGGATGAAGAATTGACAAGTGAAACGTCTGATGCCAGCCCAGAAACTGAGTTTGACTAATGGTCGCGGGTAAAAAGTCGCGTGTCGCGGGTAGAATGTCGCGGGTCGCGGGTAAAATGTCGCGGGTAAAAAGTCGCGGGTCGTAAAAAAGCTCCAAACCGTGTATTTTATTGAGTCGCGTGTTGAATAAAGTGTGTAAAAATCACGTTATCATTTACTGAACAGCTATATAGGATTGCTTCAATACGAAATATTGCCCAAGAGCCTTTTGTCACGATTTAATGAGTTTGACTAATGGTCGCTGGTAAAAAGTCGCGTGTAGAATGTCGCGGGTAAAATGTCGCGGGTAAAAAGTCGCGGGTCGTAAAAAAGCTCCAAACCATGTATTTTAGAGTCTCGGGTTGAATAAAGTGTGTAAAATCACGTTTTCATTTAGTAAACAACCATATAGGATTGCTTCAATACGAAGCATTGCCCAAGAGCCTTTTGTCATGATTTAATGGTTCAATATAAACGTGCCAGAAGCCTAAAACTTGAAAGAATAATTTCAATATGTTAAACCAACAATTATACCATGACAAAAATCCTCTAATCAAAAAAATGTTCTGAAAGAAACAAACAAGACTTTGGTAGAAATAAATTCAGTTTACCACTACTATTACAATCAGTTTTATACCAATTTAAAAACAACCATATAGTATCACAAATAATAGATATATCCATGCTAGGACATTATAAAAGTACATTATGATTCACCAACAACCCGGATATTTAAGTCGTTGTTCTCTAGCAGTTGTTTCTGGAAAGTACTGATCGATGCGCAGAGGCTTGACGACAACGCGCACTGAGCCACTGAATAGCGGATTTTTACGCCTGATTGGTAGCAATTGGATGCCTATGTATTACTAAAATCAGGACTATAAGCATAGGAATGTGTAACAGGATCCTTTTGCACAACCGGACCACCGTCTATCAACGTGCTTTACAATAATGTTATATGGTTCTTATCTATATTTATCTAGAAACTCGCAATTGCAGCCATAACATCTTCGAACAACTATTGATAAAAACCATTAAATAACTAATAAATGATAACGTGATTTTTACACACTTTATTCAACCCGCGACTCAATAAAATACACGGTTTAGAGCTTTTTTACAACCCGCGACTTTTTACCCGCGACATTTTACCCGTGACCCGCGACATTTTACACGCGACTTTTTACCCGCTACACGCGACCCGCGACCATTAGTCAAACTCCCAGAAACTGGCGATAACGATACAGAAAATGAAGTTGATCCAGCTCCTAGACCTAGGCTTAAAACTATACAGTTGGTTTTGTGCAATAAACGAAGCAAAGCAGTAGGACCACTCCGCATGCGAGCAATTATTGCAAAATCTTATATTCAGAATGGTCATGATGAGTAAGTTGCAAAGTTGCTTTTTGGGCAAGTATTACTTGTTGAAAAACAAAAAGCACTCAAACTTTTGTAAAACAACATTTTAGAACTTTTAAATGTTTCACAAATTAAATTTGTTTGTTGTTTTAAAGTTATTTATCAAATTTTTAAAATTAACTTTTTGTGTCATTCGTAATAATGGATTTTTGGCTCAGCAGAATATTTTGAAAATTGTCAAGATTGAGTATACTAAGAGAAAATCATTTTATGAAATAATATTTGGGTGACCCCGATAGCGTTTTCAAGTTAAATTACTACTATATAAAGCTAAAAAATCCGCCATTCTGATTTCTGAAGCGTCATTGCTGCCATACCAATGGCAGTTTTATAACTTTTGTGCAAAACCCTTTAGATGTTGTAGTGCATCAGTAAGGTAGTTTTTGTTTATTAATCAATAAGTAATAATTGTCCAAAAATACGGATTCAAATCGTGAATTTTCTATTTTGATTTTGGCTTTAATTATGCTCAATGTTTGAAAATTTTGGCTGTTAAATTATTGTGTTCACATGCAGCTTCCATATATCGTCTAATGTTTATTTCTGTACTTTGCAAAATCTGTAAACGTTTATTACTTTTTAAAGTCTAACAGATCCTCGTTTCCTTTTCTGTTTCCAATTTGTTTTCTGTTTACTATTTTCGATATCAGCTTATGAATAAGAGCTAGCTCGTTGTCTTAACCAAATATGATATTGCTTTACATAAGGGTACGGATTAACAGTTTTACAATATCTTACATAGACACTTGTTCGTTGATTTTAGAAATATTAAGTCACAATAAACGCAGAAATGCCTCAAAAGAAACCACAAACTCAAACTCAAACAGGAAATCAATGAGCTACCTTCTGAACCATCCTTGTGCGAGGGTAAGATTAGAGAGCTGCACAGAACAATTCTTACTGTGAAGAACAACGGGAAAAAAGAACAATTACTGACGGAACTTAAGGCGTCTTCCTTTAACGGATTAAGCCTCAGGTTAAGCAAAATGGTGAAAGAAGATGGCTTGACCATGGAAAGTCTTCATCTTGTTTTAAAATTCCTGACAAAGAAAAATGAACTTGCGGAGTATTTGTTCGTAACCTCAACTGAAATAATTGAACAAGACGGACTTGGTCCCATAAGAAGAAGATTGGGTCCCAGACTTGAAGTTATAGGTGCGTTGCTTTCCAAAGGAATAGACGTCAACAACCATGGGTGCGAAACTTGGTTAAAATTGCTCCATCAAAAAAAACTCTTGCTCGACTTTCCATCGTGGGCTTGGAAAATGTTTGTGATGGAGCTAGCCGTCGTGAAATGGAGGACGTTAGTCGAATTGTGAGAGAAGCTGAATCGCAGTCGATAGAGAAGCCAGCGGATGATGAAAAACTGGTATCCATTAAGCCAAATGCGAGCAACAAAGCTGTAGATAAAGAAAAGTTAGAGCAAGCCAAAAGTCTTGTGAATAAAGCAAAGGAAATGGCAGCGAAAAGTGAGTCTGGAGCGGAAAAAAAGGCGGTGAACGAAAGAATCAGTGAAATTTCAGAACTTCTTGGACTCCCGTCAGATTGGAAAAAGAGAGAAACGGGGAAAACCCCAGAGAAATTGTTGGAAGAATTAGATGAGACAATTAGTTTGTTTAATAATGCTGTAGAACCAAACGAGCCTTACAAGAGTGATTATGAAGTTGTACAAAAGGCAAGCGGTGGTCGTGCATTGTGTGCAATATATTATTCAAAATACAGGGGTCCATCCACCGCTGAAAGGCCACTTATTATCATGCCATCGAAAGTGATGCTCTCAAGCCCCAATAATTCGCACCAAATTCGCTATCTAAAGTTTTCGGCAAGTAGAGCAGCAGAAAACTATGTACAAACAGTCAAGTCATCCAGCACAAATGTTGGATTTGGTGTCGGGGGATTTTACGAACTGTTTGTCGGTGAAGTTTGTGGAAATTACGGGAAGAGTCATAAAGAAACCAGCTCGAAATTGGATAAGAAAACGACAAGCAATGCTTCAGTTGTCCAGTACATTTGGACGGCGACGAAGACCTTCAAGATCGACTAGGAGCAATTTATCTTATCAGCAAGCGCAAGGAAACACGCCAAAATGTTATCAAAGGCCATCAAAGACGAAGAGACAGAGCGAATGGAAGAACTCGCCTTGAGCTTCTTAAGTCGTTATGGAAGTCATTTGCCAGCTGGTCTCCACACACTTGGCGGAATTCTATTCCGCATTGTTGATGCACAGAGCAGAGATGAAAAAGATACGCACGAGCTCACAGAAAAAGCTGCGAAACAATTACAGAGTCAATTGTCATTTGGTGGATACGGTATCAGTGCAAGCGTTAGTGGGGAACGTAGCAGCAGTGAGGGAAAGAAAAATTCTCAAGAAGAAAAGCATAAGAAAACCTCGTATACTTTTACCTCACAAGCAATGGGTCCAGCTGCAACAGATCCAGCTACATTTACCAAGCTATTGGGTAACAATTCAACTTGGGCACTGATTGACCGCGGTAGTCCAGGGGCTTACATTCCCGTTTGGGAGATGATAAATGATCTCGGGTTGGAATTTGAAGAAGCAGCCAAAACACTTCAAAGAGTGTTTACTGAGAAAGAGAACAAATTGAAGAAAAAAAGCAAAAAACTTGGAAAAGAATTGAGGACGATTGTCGAAGATGACGTGGAATCGTATAAGAATAAATCTTTGGAGAAGGTTCGCTATTTCAATTTTTAATTTTGTATTTATCAACATTCACAATATATCTCCAAGCCCTATAACCGTGTTAGTTTTGTTGAGAAACAATTTCTCAATTGGCCAAAACAA